GGATCTTCTCTCCCTGGAACCTTTTTGTACCAGGGAGAGAAGAAAGACACACACCACACGTGAGTAAAAGCAGCACATTTGCACCCACACAATAGTTAGATACATATCAGGGGCGGACTGACCATTTGGAAACTCGGGCACTGCCCGAGGGCCCGAGGTCAGTAGGGGGCCCTATGAGATGCCCCTGGTACCTTTTTTCATAGGCTGTTTTGAGTTTGGGCAAGGACACAGGGGCCCCATGACCCCCTATTGCCTGGGGGCCCCCTGTGTTGTCAGTCCGCCCCTGATACATATTAACCCTTTGATTGCCATTGTTTTAACCCTTTGATCACCCCAGATGTTAACCTCTTCCTGCCCAGTGTCATTAGTAGTGTCAGTGCTATTTATTAGCACTGATCACTGTATTAGTGTCACTGGAGATGTCAGTGGCAGTTAGTCAGTTCCCAACCAGTGTCAGTTAGTGTCAGATTGCTCCCCGTAGTCCCGCTTTAAGCCACTGATCACCACCATTACTAGTATAAAAATAAATAAATAAATATTCTGGGATATATTTTTCGCATGTGGCTTTGTTCATTCTTTGTGGTGAGAGCTGTGGAGGTACCTTCAGGTGGAGAAGTTTTCTGGTCCTACTCTTTTGTGTGATCATAAACGCTGTGTAAGACCGCATGCCCAATTATGAGAAATTAAGCGCTACTTTTTTGTATAGACTTTTTTTATCTTTAATTCTTACCAGCAATTTTAGTTTTTTGTCAGCTGCAATTTTATTAGCTGCTTTATTCTCTCTGAATATTAGACATTTAGCGCAGAATTATTTTTGTTATATTCCGGGATATATACCACCATTTGTAGGTGCTATAACTTCCATGTAAACCAATCAATATGCACTTATTGGGATTTTTTTTTTTATGAAAGACATGTAGCAGAATACATTTTGGCCTAAATTTATGAAGAAATTCTATTTTTGTAAAACTCGTTACTGGATATATTTTATAGCAAAAAGTCAAAAATATTGTTTTTTTTCAAGATTGTTGGTCTTTTTTTGTTTATAGTGCAAAAAATAATGTATGCAGATGTGATCAAATACCAACAAAGGAAATCTCTATTTGTGGGGGAAAGAAGACAACGTTGCATGACTGTGCAATTGTCATTTAAAGTAACGCAGCGCCATATCGTAAAATATGGCCTGGTCAGGAAAAGGGGGTAAATCTTCCACAGGGCAAATGGCTACATACTCTTTAAGGAAGCCTAATCACTTTGAATCTGTCCTAACCCCTTGTAGTAGGCTCCTGCTGTCCCTTTACACCCCGGTCACATTGGGTGCAACTTGGCATGCGATTTGCACCCAATGCGACTTGCAAATCGCACGCCAAGTCGCACCCTATTATCATATCGGTGAGGTTCCGACTTGATTGGAGCCGCACTGATTTCCAAAGTAGTACATGCACTACTTTTGGTGCGATTTGCATAGACATCTGTGTCAGATGTCTATGCAAATCGCATCTCATATCAGTATGTCACCCGATGTTGAAATCATGCGGCTTCAATGTAAGTCGCACGATTTCAAAGTTGGCATCAGTGTGACTGGGGGGGGGGGTTAAGGTAGTCTTAATGCCAGAGGCATTTTCTGGGCTTTTGTATCAAATGATTGGCTTTTACAATAATCACATGATGAAGGGGGGGGGGCAGTCTACTGACACACACCCTGCCACGCCCTGCCTTAAAGAAGAATTATACAAAAAAAAATAGTTGGTTAACGCAGAGTTCCACCCAAAAGGGGAAGTTCCGCTTTAAAGATTAGTCCCCGCTCCCCATTAAGGATTGGCACCTTTGGGGAGTGGGGGAGGGAGCAGGTACCCAAAATGGACAGGTACCCACTCCCACTTCCGCTGCAATTGGCTAGGCGATTGGAAGTGGAAGTTGTCCTCCCCCCTCCCTCCCCGTAGTCTTGTGGGACACGTGACAGGTCCCAGAAGATGACGGGGCCATTCAGGAAGCACAGCGCTTCTCGCGCATGCGCAGTGGGCACTCGGCTGTGAAGCCTCAAGCTGTCACAGCCGGGTGCCCACACTGAAGATGCCGGCACCTGGAATACAGGACGGCCGGTAAATAGAGCTGCGGTGGGGGCACCGCGGGATCGTGAGACAGGTGAGCGGCTGTTTTTTAAAAGTCAGCAGCTACAGTTTTTGTAGCTGCTGACTTTTATTTTTTTACAGTGTGAGTGGAACTCCGCTTTAAAATCCACAAGTACTTTTCTGGCCATTACTATTCCTTTTATATTGGCTTTGGAAATTTACAAATGCAGTAATTTAGAAACTGGATGAAAGGTTTAGGACTGAGATTTAAAACACTTTTTGAAAGATAAATAGTGCATTTTATATACAACTATATAGATCAGGCCAAAATGAGGGACAAATGATGAGAAAAGAGGGGCAGAGGGACTTTGTTCCAAATGAGGGACAGTCTCTTGAAATCAGGGGCAGTTGGGAGGGATGTTAATAGTGACCCTGCAATTGTCAGTGACAAGCACGGTCACAGTGCTAGAGATGCTGAGTGAACGTGTTCCCAGCACAAGACGGCAGTGCTGGCTGTATGCATTAATGTAGTAGCACACCATTAACCCCCCTGGGGGTATTCCCGAGTGTAGCTCGGGGTAAAGTTTCAGCACCACAAGCAGTAACCTCTAAGCTACACTCGGGCTTAGCATGCGGCGCTGCTCCGCGATCCCTCAATCACTTACCTTGTCCTGCGCTCCCGCGAAGTCCCTCCTGCAGTGTCCCCAGCAATGTCCTCCGGCGGATGCCGCATTTGTATTTCGGATTCCGTCCCCTGCGAGCGTCGGGACGTACGGGGGACGGAACTGGCGGGAAATTTGAAAATGACAAAAAGTGACATTCACTAAAATCACTAAAATCACATAGTATAACATTCCTGTATCAAACCATTTCACATACATTTTGTCCCGAGTGCTTTGTCCTGCGCCCTGCCTGCATTTTTACTGTTCTTTCTGCCTGGAAACTGAGAAACGTCCATGGCGTCCAAAAAGCGTCCCTTTAGGTCAAAAGGGGTTTTAGACCGGCTAGAGAACAGCGATAGTAAATCAGAACCACTTGCAGAATTGAGTGATAATGAATCGTGGGGGAAATTCCTCATCAGACACTGAAAACGATTCTGCGACTTTGCTCAGCGATGTGCGAACTTGGCGCTATATTTCACATTTCAGTGTTTTTGGTTTGATTATATTATTGAATTAAATGTATTATTATTATATTATTTTTTTATGATTATTTATTAAATTATAATTTATGATTTCGTGTTTCAAGTTTTATCCTACCCGGGGTGTTTACTAGACTCTTGTTCGGACAGATTTCAGTGAGTTATTCCTAAAAATTACAGGACCTACAATAAAAAAAATACATATTTCCATGTAAAAAAATGTACCACTTTGAGCACAGAAATATGGACATAATCAGACCGCTAGGGAGGTTAAAGTCCACTGCTGTGCTGCTACATATGTGAGCATGTCTGGTACCAACAGGCTAAAAAGCTTCAATACATGAAACAATTCGCCTGCATTTTGTTTGGCCAATGCAGCACAATGCTCAGTGTATTCATGGGGTCTGTTTGTCAGTAGATAACCTGAGATTCATTCAACTTTTACTCAGGATTTATCACATAAGATGTGAATATTGGGTGAAAATGAGTGAAAACTTTGGTGCAAATTTTGATAAACAGACCTATCGTTACATGGGTAATCAGGTTAAAACATTACAATATATTACAACAATCTCAAACAAAATAAATTTAAATCTTGCATCCCCAGATCCAGAGAAAGGTAAAAAACCCTTATCTAGAATGGACCAGTTTGCTCCAACAAGGAAAAAAATTCTTCCCGATTATCTTAAAGTGTTACTAAACCCACAACAGTACAATCAGTCTGTAGATGCAGTAAAGCATGCTTGTTATACTCACTGTGGAGCCTAAGGGGTTAATCCTCTGCATTGTGTAAAAAGGCTGTTTGATCCTGACTTCTCTGATCCTCCCCTTCTTCCAGTGTCCCCCTCTTCTCTCCTGATAAGACATATTATGTGGAGGCACTATGAGTGTGGAGACATGCTGAAACACTTTACACATGCTCCGTTTGGTGTGTGTATAACTAGAGAGGTTTTTTTTTTCTTTGGAACATGCATATGATCAGTACAGGGCCAATGAGCACTGTTTAGACAGAGGTCAGGAGTCCTGCATCCTCCTAGAGCAGAAATAAAACTCCTCCTACAAGCTTTAACCAGTGCTTTGCTGAACACTGATAGAAGTCACAAGACTGCTATATACTGCTGATGAGAAAAGGTATTTAGCAGTTTATATTTACTAACATAATTGCATTTTCATGTTCTGTGTACTGTGGGAGAGCAGATATAGTGAATGCAGGGTCCGGGGAGAGCAGATATAGTGAATGCAGGGTCCGGGGAGACCAGATATAGTGAATGCAGGGTCCGGGGAGAGCAGATATAGTGAATGCAGGGTCCGGGGAGAGCAGATATAGTGAATGCAGGGTCCGGGGAGACCAGATATAGTGAATGCAGGGTCCGGGGAGACCAGATATAGTGAATGCAGGGTCCGGGGAGAGCAGATATAGTGAATGCAGGGTCCGGGGAGACCAGATATAGTGAATGCAGGGTCCGGGGAGACCAGATATAGTGAATGCCGGGTCTGGGGAGACCGGATATAGTGAATGCAGGGTCCGGGGAGACCAGATATAGTGAATGCGGGGTCCAGAAAGAGCGGATATAGTGAATGCAGGGTCCGGGGAGACCAGATATAGTGAATACAGGGTCCGAGGAGACCGAATATAGTGAATGCAGGGTCTGGGGATACTGGATATAGTGAATGCAGGGTCCTGGGAGACCAGATATAGTGAATGCGGGGTCCTGGGAGAGCGGATATAGTGAATGCAGGGTCCGGGGAGAGCGGATATAGTGAATGCAGGGTCCGGGGAGAGCGGATATAGTGAATGCAGGGTCCGGGGAGAGCGGATATAGTGAATGCAGGGTCTGGGGAGACCGGATATAGTGAATGCAGGGTCCTGGGAGACCAGATATAGTGAATGCAGGGTCCGGGGAGACCAGATATAGTGAATGCAGGGTCCGGGGAGAACAGATATATTGAATGCAGGGTCCGGGGAGACCGGATATAGTGAATACAGGGTCCGGGGAGAGTGGATATAGTGAATGCAGGGTCCGGGGAGACCAGATATAGTGAATGCAGGGTCCGGGGAGAGTGGATATAGTGAATGCAGGGTCCGGGGAGACCAGATATAGTGAATGCAGGGTCCGGGGAGAGCGGATATAGTGAATGCAGGGTCCGGGGAGACCAGATATAGTGAATGCAGGGTCCGGGGAGACCAGATATAGTGAATGCAGAGTCGGGGAGACCAGATATAGTGAATGCAGGGTCCGGGGAGAGCGGATATTGTGAATGCAGGGTCCAGGGTTTAGTAACACTTTTAGACATTTGGGTATTCCCTGGATCAACAACGTACTCATAAGTATGAATAGCCAGTTATATTTTGAGCATTTAGAAACTCATCCAGCTTTTTTTTTTTTACCAGAGTTGGCCAGAACTAGCTCCTGTGGAAGTATTTTTCACATTTTCACAGCTTTTAGTGTAAAGAAGACTTTCCATATGCATAGGTTAAAGAGGAACTTCAGTCCTCTTAATCATGGCTCTATCCTCTCCTCCACTGATGCCACCAATTTTTTATTGTCTGATGTGTGCTTAGATGCACTGAATGGCCCTGCCCAGCCTTCGGGACCAGGCAGAGCCCTGCAGCACATCTTTGCACATGCACAAACAAATAGAGGTCCTGGGCCTCCTTGACTGTGCTGTCCTTGATTGTGCTGTCCTTGCACACAGGGAAACCTGCAAGTGCACAGAAGCCGAAGATCTTTTCAGTGTTCCAAAGGCCAGGCCCAGGGGCGGACTGACAACTCATGGGGCCCCCGGGCAATAGGGGATCATGGAGCCCCTGTGTCCTTGCCCAAACTCAAAAAAGCCTATGAAAAAGGTACCAGAGGCATCTCATGGGCCCCCTACTGACCCCGGGCCCTCAGGCAGTGCCCGAGTTTCCAAATGGTCAGTCCGCCCCTGGGCCAGGCCATTATCCTTTAGTTGAGAAAAAAAAGGTGTGCTGCTCTACACCTGCAAAAAAAAGTGAAAAAAAAAAAAAAATATCCAGCTGGGGGAATGAAGGGGTAGGAAGCAGGTGAATACACATGGTCTTTTTAGGGTGAAGGTTCACTTTAAACCTTTTTTTCTTCCAGGTGCAAAGAGTGCCCCCTTGTACATTTGCAATGCCCTTACAGTGGGTTTCTAAATTGACCAAATTGGGATTCCACCTACTTTATATTGGTTACATGTCCCCATTCACATAGCATAACTAAAAAAATATATTTGAAAATGTTCTGCTTACCTTTTTGCTTGCCGAAAAAATCCTGCCTAGCCTTCCCCTTCATGGAAGAAAAATATATTTTAAATACATTTAAAAAATATTCTTCCCAAATATATTTACATATTTTTGAAATACTACAATTTTGGCCGTATTCAATATAATTAATTTCAATATAAATATATATATATATATATATATATATATATATATATATATATACACACTGTATGTTGAAATTCGTTTTTTATATATTACAAAATATATAAAGTACTTTTATAAATACATTTTCAAATATAATGTATGTCTTTAAAAATACATTTAATCTACATTTTTGGAATGCACGTACAAATATATGTAAAAATATATGTTAAAATTACTTTTTTATATGTTAAGAAAATCTGAAGAATATATTTAAAAAATATATATTTTTAAAAAAAAAAATTCATATTTTTGTATTATATAAAGATATAAAGAACACATTTCAGCATACTATATATATATATATATATATATATATATATATATATATATATATATATATATATACACACACACACACTTTTTTTTTTTTTTTTAATATATTGCATACGACCCAAATTGTAATATTTCAAATATATGTCAATATATTTGGGAAGAATATTTTTAAAATATATTTTTCTTCCATGTGGGTATATTGTTAAGGAGGCGGCTGGGGTTTTATGTTTACAGTAATTAAAATAGATCTATCAGCAAAGCTTTTTTTTTTTATTTTGAGTAGAGTAAAGGGAGGGTTATAACTGTTGGAATACAGTCTTCATGTATTTTGTGAGACAACTACATCAGTATTCAGTAGAGATATATTCTTCAGCCAGTAGATGGCAGTGTTTATAAGTTTGTAGCTGCATCTATGGTATACTCTATACCTGAAGTTTCCTGTTTCCTGGTTGCAGTGAAGCAGAGAAAAGCACATGATGACAGTGCACTGTCTGTTCTGTAGGGCTATATAGAACATTTCTAACAATAACCCCTGTCAGTTTTTTTCTGTTGCCATCTGTGTCCCATTGGGGAGATTTCCCTTCACTTCTTTTCCCATCGACAGAACAGGATGTGAAAAAAAAAATCCCTCCAAAGTGAATCCCCGGTTGTCACCAGCAGTAGTGTCCACATTGTAACATTGAAAGATTTCCCCTCTCTTCCGGTTCCCCATTAATTCAGTTTGTGTGGAATGAGCAGTCCACATTAGTTGTGGTCATGTGCACTGCCCTATGCACACTGCACATCCCATAGTCCATCTTGGGAGCGAGCAACAGAGGGTGGTTTATGGTGGTTACATTACTGCTAACATTGGGACGATGGAGAATGAGCGTAGTCACCCTCTAGCAGGAAGTCAGATCACAGCAAAAAAAAGTAGTTTGGAGGAGGCTGAGAGCAATAGAAGGGACTTTCTTGAGTTCTGAATAATACAGAATACATACAATAGATCGATCGAGTTTAGTGTCACTTTAACGTCATCTACCTGATTCTATGGAGGAACACGGGAACAGATTGGTCATACATTATGTATAGGAGCCCGGTGGCCGTGTGAGTGACTGCTGCAGCATATTGTATCATAGATTAGAGGCAGAGCGCAGCTTCCATGCAGTTAGTTGATCCTTCTTCTATAAATAGCCCATGTTTAATGGAACATGACGGCTCCGATCTGCAAAATGTCAGGTGAGAAAAACAGCCAACAAAACAAGATTGGATTTTCTAAATACTAAAGTGACTGAGCGACATCACAGTGCCTAGCACGCTTACCTTGCATTTTTCCTAAGTCAATCCACATGGAGTTTGTATGCCCTTCTCTTGTTTGATATGGGTTTCCTTCTTTAGCCCAAAACCATGTATAGCCCAAAACTTTTTGGTTAGAGTAGGGAAGGGTTAAAGAGGACCTTCCACTTCAAGTTTCGCCCCCCTCCTTCTAAAATGCATAGAACTGGGAAAAAAATAGAATACAGATGATACAGTTTATGTAGCACTACCCCCCTAGGGGCTGATGGTTAGGATGGGTCCTCTGTTCTTTACCTCCACCTCTCTAATAACTTCACCCCCTCTGACAGACCAGGTTGAGTGTACAAAACATGTAATATCACAGAAAAACCACTCAAAGCAATACTTAGTACCAGTGACTCCGATCCATTATGCTCAATCCGCAGATCCGATCCATTCTGCGTGGATCGTTGGAGGGGGTGTCACCAAGTGTTACTGCACCGGGTGGCACCAACCCTAGGGATGCCCCTGCTTAGTACCCAGTAGTAGTACTATATCAAAGAAAACAGGTAATGAACCAGTTAGTAAAGGCAATATATTGTCACCGGATACGATTGGGTAACAAAGTAAGCATAGATATGGATTAACAATGATAAAGATACAATTTAGCATAAAGGACTAGGCATAAGATGACACTTGGGGGGTTATTTACTAAAGCCGGAGAGTGAAAAATCTGGTACAACTCTGCAGAATAACCAATCAGCTTCCAGGTTGTATTGCCAAAGCTTAATTGAACAAGCTGAGGTTAGAATCTGATTGGTTCCTATGCAGAAGTCTGATTTTGCACTCTTCACCTTTAGTAAATAAAGCCCTTAGTGTCCTGATCAGCATTAACAGTAGCAAGATCACCTAAAGTGCAGCAGTGAGCTGTAATGAAGCTTGATTTACCAAACATAGGAACTATACTGCCAAGGTGCATTAATGGCAACAATGCTAGGCCTAGACGGACTGGATAAGCACTTTCTATAGAAATGAAGGGAACAAAGGGGGCAGGGCGGTTTTATGGGAGGTGCAGTCCTTCCGCTGGCTATCAGTGGGGCCTATTAAGAAGCGTCGGTGCACTTAACGACGTTTCGATAAACAAGTATGCAGTATAGGTGAAGAAAAATGCAGCAAAGGTGCAGTATAGTGCACTGTACTTAATGTCCTGCCTCTAGTAACTCAGTCCCTGCTAGCAGTGTAAACAATTGGCAATGAGCCCTCTCACCCAGGGCTGTGGATAAGGGGCACCACCAGTCCTCCTGTACAGCACCCAGGCCAGCATTGGGGCCAGGCAGCTAGGTGAATCATATGTAATCAGGGAAGGTGATTGGCACAGCAGGGGAGGCAATTACTGGATATGATCCCCTGTATGGCTCTCTGATAGCTGGCTTCTTCTCCTGTCCCTCCTGCTGGCTTTCAGCTGCTGCAAAAAAAGCCACACAGGGGATCAGTTCCATTAATTGCCTCCCACCACACCCTTCACACAATAGGATCCTTCAGGATGGAGAGTGAGGAAAGGGTCTGGTAAATATGTCACAATTATCATCCCCTTACTTTCCTGAATTAACACAATGAGGGATCATACCAATCACTCACTGCGTTTATTCATAACTGAAGGATAGTAAACTCTGTTTTTTGTTTTAGCCCCCCCCTCACCTGTCAGGTTAGCTGTATGGGGTCCCATGGTTTTTAACAGCATCCCTGCTCTCACCAGTCCCTTTGGTGCAGCTGTGAACTCTCATTGCAGAAAGGGGGCCCTCAAAATCTCTTCACGGAATGCATCTGGAGATTCAGCAGTAGGAAGTAGAAGGTGAGAGGTTGCTCTGGTCTGTGCTGCACTGCCTCGGTTGAAATCCCCCTAATAAAACCTAAAAAAATCTCAAGGACTGATTACTAACTCCTGGATGCAAGTCTGTGGAAAATATGTGTTGCCTGGCTGTGCAGGACTATAGGGGGAACCAAATACTCAGCAACCCCCAGGGGGTAGTGCTACATCCAGGTAACAGACCTCAGACTGGGAATATGTACGCAGATGGGACTCAGGCTTGGAGAGTGAATGACACAAAATTGTAGAGTTCCTCCCATTACAAATGGATATGTGGCTATCCCATCTGGAGAAGAAGCAGAGCGGAACCTGGGACAGCTTGGTGCGAACAGCCCACTAGGCAGGGAGAAGCA